GTTCCCACGAACATGGCCACGGCCGTTCGATCCGTCGCACAACCTTTCCACGTCGGCGATCTTCGCCTTGCTGATCTGAGGAAGCTCATGAATGCTAATGGCATGCACGCTGAGTTTAGAGGCGAGGGTGTGTTGGTCATCAACGGCACGGTAGCTGTGAGGAAGACTGCTACTGGTCAGATTGAGATTGATGGAGGGGCTTATGGTAATCTGGATCCAAGGAACAATGATGCGGCGACTTTCTCTAGGGTCAGGAGGCAGATCTACGAGGGCTTGGCTGTGGTTGCTGGGGGTTGAGTGTTTAAAGACACGGATTAGGTATTAGGTTATGCATTCATGGATTATGCTACACTATTCACTGCTGAGAGACAAAACAGAATCTTACGAATAAGCAAGGTACATGTTGTTCCACTTCCATGACTAGGGCTCATTGTGGCAGATGCACATAGTTTGATCACGAAGGAGCACGATTCACGCTTGAGCGCGAAGTCTAATAGAAAAAAGACATGGGTACAATGTGAGCGGCCGAATCTGGTAATTCGCCTCTACCAGTGTGAGGCGTGCTAGGCAACATGGTAACCTACCCTGACAGCCAAAACTAAGCTAAGTTTCCTCACCGGTGAATCGGCTTCTTCACCGGAGCAAGGCTTGCATAGCCTCCCTTGGTATCGCAGTTAAAACTGGGTTGCGCATCCTTTCCTCTTAGCATGCATATTCGTATCACTTCTATTCACCTACCAAGGGTCGCTCACGTTCAACAGTTCGTCGACTAATGTTGTACGTGTTGGTGAAAAGTGTCATACAGCAGGATGTCCAGTCATGTTAGCCAATCAGCCGTAAGGTAAAGTTGTTTTGGGGGGGTACGAGTGGTCCCTGGTAATACCAGCTCGGTTACTCATGCTGCATGTAAGGCTGTGGCGCCTGCCACGTCTCAGCCTGCCAGAACTTGTCTTCTAGCCTCGTCATTGTCTACCATCCTCGCCACCCCTCTGTCATCAACATCAAATTTTTGTTACCCGAATACGTAACCTTTGACCAGCTAACGTGCTATAGCTACTCGATCGATCTCTGGTTGCAAGGCGCCTTCAACTACCGACTTCTGGTCGTGATTGTCTCATCGCATACAAGCTTGGAAACGTTAACTCGCACTGGTCTTTCAAACTTGCTCTCAATGCGCCTACTAAGAGTCGGAAGCGACCATCTCAGCCTATTTGAGGCCCACGGCGAAGAGATCCCCCCGTACGGCATCCTCTCTCATACGTGGGGTTCGGATTCCGATGAAGTTTCCCTGAAAGAAATCGCAGATGGTGTGAATCTGAAGGAAATCGCAGATGGTACATGCCGCAGTAAGGCTGGATATCGCAAAATTCTCTTCTGCGCAAGACAAGCCGCCAGAGATGATCTAGAGTACTTCTGGATCGATACTTGTTGCATTGACAAGTCAAGCAGCGCAGAGCTATCAGAAGCGATTAACTCCATGTTTCGATGGTATCAAGAAGCGGCAAAGTGTTACGTCTACTTATCTGACGTCTCGATCAAAGACACGCGCTCCTTCCAAGCCAGCCGATGGTTCACTCGCGGGTGGACATTACAGGAACTTGTCGCCCCGAAGGTCATCGGATTCTACACTGTGGAGGGTGAACCTATCGGCGATAAATTCTCGTGGTTGCAAGAGATAGGGGAAACAACCAAGATCCCGCAGCATGTACTTCGCGGGGGTGATCTTTTCGAGATGAGTGTTGAGGAGCGGTTATCGTGGGCAAACACACGTTCAACAAAACGAGAAGAGGACCTAGCTTACTCTCTTCTGGGCATATTCAACGTCCATATGCCGCTTATATACGGTGAAGGCAGAAGAAAAGCCTTCTTGCGACTCCAAGAAGAGATAAACAAGTCTTCGAACGGTGAGGCACATTCCCGACAAAACTATCCGCCATGACCCCAAGAGGGTCGGCGTCAATCAAGATGGTCGCTGAAGATCTATACAGCAACGAAAGCGATGATGGGCTCCAGGCACGTGGTACCAAATGGGGTTCCGAAGGCGCTCAGTCCAGAAAGCTCTGCACACATAGCGGGGCGGACGGGCAATATCAAGGTCAGTGGTCGCGCTGATAACGTTAATACCGGCATTTCTCTCAAAAGAATTGTAAGTGGAAAGTTTCAAAAGTCAGCTCTTGCTCGAAATGCGCTACTGATCTCTTGCCGCGAGCGAACCTCGGCGATTGGCTTCGGTACCATAGTACCACTCCATACTTTACATGTCTCTAACACACTGTCAGGCTTCAGAACCACCCTTTTCAGCAAGAATATCAAGAGAGACTGGTTCCGTGGAAGTGGGCCTCGACTCTAGCGACATTAACACCGGGGTTATCACATGGTGACTATGTGTCATCAGTGTAAGTGATTTCTTGAGAGAGTTGGATACCTACAGCCTTTGTCGCTGGCAATATCCTTATTGAGGGTGTACCACTGGAGTGTACGTATCAAACGTCGAAAAACTAAGAAATGCAAGAGAGCTAAGGATGGGTTCCCGATGTGACCCATGATAAGAGATATGAAAAGGACACGATCACATCACACTCGAATCATACGTGTTAGCCGATGCAGGAAGTAGTAGTTAGACGCGGGTGTATTTTATGACAAACAATATAGATACGATATACGATGGTCATGTTTGCTTCACCAGCTTATCAAATTGCGAGAATGTATGGACAACCGTCAAGCGTTCAATCCTCATCAACAATACCAGTTGATGATTGCTTGACATTGTCGGCGACGATGTTCCCAGTTACCACCATTTCCTTCTTACCGGTTCCGTCTTTTCTGACGACGATACCAGTGTGGCTTTTGCTAACGCGCTTGTCGGCATTGATGTATCCTGATTCGCCCACGAGCGCGGTCCCGTGCCTGTTCTTTATTCCAGTGACCATACCATCCACGTTGTTCGCTTTCACATTGCCGGTCTTTTCAATAATCGTTGCACCCTATCATGGTATTAGCGAACATGTCGTGGACAGCTAGTATTCCCATTGCAGGCTGATTTGGTCATCATACTTTCTTATTAGTCTCAGGACCACCCATGGTTGGCTTTATTGCACAATCGCAAACGAATTGACGCTGGTTCCTTTCTTAATCGATGGAAGAGTGTGAAGGGAGAATCTGCTTTACACCCGAGATGAGGGTGCGGGGCACCTGCATACCTATATAACCTCCAGGCTACTCTAGCAGGCTGAAGGCGCGTCAGCCTGCGGCTTTGAAGGGCTCGTCGAATGGTATACCCAGGCTGGCGATCGCAATATTGATTGGCCAGTCAAGTAGATAGCGAGCAAGGCCATGTGGTTCAATTCGGTCATATGTAGGCTGTACAGCCTGCACCCCACGAACGCCCAAGAGAATCTGGGTGGAGCCTGGTGGCAATGCAGGAAGTTTATGCCTCGTCCTCGGGATGTTCTGCTAATATGACCACCTAGGTATGCGCATCTGTCGAGGCTGAGCACGCTCAGCCAGCCCCTTCTCGTGAACGTGACAGCCTTGGAGGGACCTTTCTCTGCTGCGCCGACCTCAGAAAGACCTGCCGGTGAGACGCAGGACCCTGAACCCTCGTGCATGCGCTCCTCTGGCCTTGCGGGATCGGGACAATCCGCCCTGACACCCGTCAAACCATAGTCTTTATATACCCTTAGACATATCCCAATCCAATGGCTCAGAGTACAACAAATCGTACACTCTTACTCCACTCCATCTCATCACCGACCTTCATAACAAGCTACTAGCACAGCCTTACCTGGATATCTGCACCTTTACGATTCCGCAGCCACCACAACCACCGCCGTCACCGGTCTTCCTGCACCTCCTCCATTCTACTATCGACCCAATACGCATCACGAGAACGGTGGTGCTGTTCACAAGGATTATTCGATCTCCCGGCCCAGCGGAATGGGCCTATTCAAACCAGCTTGGGATCGGGACTTCCTGATCACTGTGGTAGCAGTAGTCGGCATCGCCACCTGCAGTATCAGTCTAGCACTAGTTTGGAGCTCTCCCTGTCCTGAGGCCTCTCCTATAACGCAAAACAACAGCACCGGCCCTACAGGTGATATTACAGCGGGTCACGACATTGGCTCTGCTTCAACTGGCATTGACGGGAAGCCGCCGTCGACATGACCGTGTCATTATGGCTGGCTGTGACCGTGGAGTTGTGGGCCAGCATGGCCTTGATGCTGTGGATGAGCGTGCCTGTATGACATCCCTCTTCCACCTGCAAACTAGTTCAACTGACTGTGCCTCAGAAGGAAACAAAAGCTTATGTCTGGCGATGTTGTCAATGCGGTGTGAGTACTCCTTCCCTGACAGGTCGCGACTGGATAATGAGCTGACATCGTTTTCTACAGTACTATAGCATGTTTCTCCCCGTGCTTCCAATACGGCGATGTACTGGCGGACGGACCAAGCAATCGGAATGGGTTTTACGAGCACGACCGTGGGATTAGTGCCTTACTACGACTGGGTTAGCGGAGGATGCGGATATATACATGTCAGATAATAGATTGGGGTTCTGTGTAACATACTCTCATCTGTTGCTGTCATAGAACTTGATTACGCGCCAGCCTGCGGCTTCTCTTTTTGGTCCTCCCGTGACACGGATGCGTAGCCTGTTGTGACGCGCGAGAGCGCGTCCACTTCTTCGAGCAAGCCTGCAAGCGTTGAGTCACGCACATCTATGATACTGGTTGATGGCGCATCATAATGTTTGTTTCGCGACTTTTGTACGAAGGGTTGGCATTTTCCTGGGTAATGTGTACAATAGGGTTGCGCCTCACTGTCGCACTTGCCTAGACAAGCGCGCCGATGACCCCACACCCCTCCCTCAAATTGAAGGGCAGCAACTGCGCCACAACTGCATAGCGGCCAAGTCTCTAACCTAACGGTTGCGCAAGTATTTTCTTTCTATGAGTCCTCTCTAAACGACTGCACGAAAATCGCGCTCGACCAGACACACCATGCCGTCCAGTACTGACGAGGCGCAAGCGCTCGGCCATTCAGAGTTTTGGGACCAACGGTACGCAAAGGCCGACGGAACCAAGCCAACACATGAGTGGTTTCGCGCTTTCGAGGACTTAGAGCCGTTCTTCAAGAAGCATCTGTTCGACAAGACGAAGGAGGAGGGGAAGGATGGCAAAATTCTTCACTTGGGCAGCGGCGATAGTGTAGGTCTTCCAAGGTTGCTATCATCGGATTGCGGAACGCCGTGAGCAGCACAAACTTCAACACCTAAGCGATGATAGCCTGGCTCAACATCACTTCATCTTCACTCATAACCCGCAAATTGTTTTTGTAATTACATAGTTTAAATGACTGACCCATGACCAGACCGTCCCATACGATCTCCTAAAGCGGGGCTACACGAACCAGCTCTGCATTGACTTTTCCTCAATAGTCGTCGATCTGATGAAATCGCGACACTCAGATGAACCTCAAGTAGAGTGGACAGTTGGTGATGTACGGGATATGAAAGGTATCGACAGCAACTCTGTGGATGTCGCCTTTGACAAAGGCACACTGGATGCCATGATCTACGGCAGTCCATGGAGCCCACCCGAGGAGGTTATGGAGAATAGCGGCAGATATCTCAGTGAGGTGAGTAAATGAATGAGGCGTAAGTTTGGAAGCTTCGATGTATGCTAATTGCGCAAAGGTCTGGAGGGTATTGAAAGATGACGGCGTCTTTCTCTACATCACATACCGCCAGCCACACTTCATCAAGCCTATCCTGAACCGGGACAACGAGTGGGATCTTGAGATGGAAATCATGGGTGGAGGCGACACTTTCCAGTACTTTGGTTTCATCCTGAAGAAGTACACCGCAAGCGCGAAATGAAAACCTGACCGACGAGACTGCGTTTGGAGATGAGTTGCATCCAAAGGGTCAAAATGGATTGAAAGTATGAGGACGCCCGATTTGTGGGTGCACCCCAAGAGACGTGCCCTGTCTTGAGTTTTATATTAAAGTGATATCAAAATTTACGATATCTGCAGGATGAAGACGAAGTTGTGCTTCCCCGTAGCCCAAATGCAACCTTGAATGGCGGGGTTCGCTAGTCGCACAGACCACATTCCTCTCTGCTCTTTCTCTTCCCCAACCCTCTTCCCTCAGCCATTCTCCACACTCAGCTATTCTCCACGGTGCATTTGGAATTGACTGAACTTTCCTCGTTTGCCACCATCTACACAGACACTGTCTTGCATGAAACAGTCGACTTTCCATCCTTGAACCCTGGCGTGCATACGATCGGTGCAGAACTTTCGAATACTAGCTCGACGCTTCCGTTCTTTGCGCCATGAAACTGGATGTTCGCGCTCGCGTTCGCCGCGTTCATGCCGATTCCAGCGCCGATGATGATGGCTTCCGGGGTCATGTTGAAGCCGCTTCCCAGACCGAAGTCGCTGGATCCGGCTTGAAGTCCGCCTGTTTCGCGTGCGTTAGTCAGAGCAGTCGCATAGGAATGTGGACTACGTACCTCCGTAAGAGACGTCGGCTTGCCAGTTGATGCCGCAACCTACACCAATCTCGCCGAATGGTGAAAGGTTACCCGCCGCAGCGACGTTTCCGAGTCCGCTAGTCGATGTGACGTTTTTTGTCAGACTCGTAATCTCGACGCCGTTGGCTCTTCGGTGTTGATGCGGTGTTGCTGATGCGAGCATCTGCATCGCAAGGAACGGTAAGACGAATTGGGCGAACATGATATCGATGACGTTGACGATGCGACGCGGTTTCAGAAGAGGAGGACCGATGTATATATAGAGGGAGAACTGCCGTTGGGTAAGGCTGCAGATAGTACAAAGTTGTACTTATAGTCGGTGCTTCTCAAGGTTTGATGATCAGGGGCCCGGCGAAACTGCCTTCATCATTCAGGCTATTCATCAGTTCTGTGCTTCTAGTCGACTTCCATTTGTTCTACAGTACCTCCCGGACGATCCGGTAATTGCAATGGCGAGTAAGAACCGCCATTCGGTCCGCACCCAAGTCTGATAGGGGGCTTACGGCGCGTTAGCAGGAAACCTAAACTCCACGCGACGATGGCAACTCTATTTTGACAGCCGCGAGTATTTTTGTACACAACGTACTGACGCTCTGCTGAACATGGAGAATGTGTTTCGCGATGTTGTGGACAGACGCAGGGTCGCAGACTAATTGACATCTAGACAATACGCTTTCGCGTTCGGCGAGTTCTCGGGCCTTCTCCAGGAAGTGTTGGGCTGTACTACCGGCCCTCACGGGTCTAACCCTGCCGTCAGCGATGCTGACGTAGATCACGGTTCGTAGATGGTAAACTAGCTGTGTCAGATTGTGCACCGCCAGAGGAGGCGCGCCACCTTGACCTGGTATATTAGGAGCTCTGCTTATAAGGCTCGGCAGTGCTTATTCGATACCTCACTTCAGTTCATCGCATCTCATCCAAGATGTTCACCCCTTTGGTCTTTGGTTTGCTTCTGGGAGCGGCGCGTTCAGTCGTGGGCGAAGAGTCGAATGCACCCTACCCGACAGCCACGAACGGTTCTTACCCCACAGGAAACAACGACTCATGTCTCCACACTCATGATGGAGGGTTCACCCCGGACTTCTATCTTTCGGTTACATACGAGAACCATACTGTAGCATGCCAGACTCGCATGTCTGCGTTGGTAAACGGTACATCCCCAGGACCCGAACTACGTCTCCCAGCCGGTAAGACGAGTTGGGTGCGAGTCTGCAATGACATGGAAGACTACAACACAACCATGGTACGAAAAACATAGACCATATCACATAACAGTAACTAACACCATTAGCATTGGCATGGTCTCAGTCAACGTACTGCACCTTTCAGTGACGGTTCCCCTGTCAGCCAATGGCCGATCGCGCCTCACAGATGCTTCGACTATGAGATTCACCCCGAGATTGAGGATGCCGGAACCTACTTTTACCACTCTCACATCGGCTTTCAGGCCATCTCTGCAGCAGGGCCGCTCATCATTGAAGACTTTGGTCCTCCTCCGTTTGAGTACGATGAAGAGCGCATCGTCTTCCTCCAGGATTACTACAACAAGACCGATGAGGTGATGGAAGATGGTCTGGTTGCGACCCCGTTCAAGTGGACTGGTGAGGTCAACGCAGTGTTGGTAAATGGTGTCGGTGTTGCCAATGGTGAAACAGCTGGCGAGGGCAACTGTGAGCTACCAGTCATCGAAGTCGAGCCCGGCAAGACCTACCGCATGCGCTTCGTAGGTGCAACAGCCATATCGATGGTATCTTTCGGTATCGAGGGCCATTCCAAGTTCGACGTTATCGAAGCCGATGGTGGCTACACGCAACCCCACACTACAGACCACATGATGCTTTCATCCGGCCAACGTTTCGACGCCCTCTTCAGCACGAAGACGGCAGAGGAGCTCGGCAACCAAACCGACTATATCATCCAGTGGGAGACCAAAGACCGCCCCGCAATCTACACTGGCTTCGGTATCCTGCGCTACCCAAGCTCAGGACCCAAGATCACCACCGCGCCCACAGTCGCCCCTCTAACCTTCACCAACGCCACCTACGATTTCCTCGAGTATGTTCTCGAGCCTCTTGTCCCCAACAACTTCCCTAAGGCTTCCGAGATAACCCGCCGCGTCCACATAAACAACGTGCAACTCAAGCAATCCACCACAATCTGGCAACTCGACGGCCTAAACTGGACCGAAGAGACCACCGCCAACAGCCCGCCCTACCTCGTCGACATCTACAAGAACGGCCCTGCAGCTATGCCGAACTACACCGCCGCCATGGCCAACGGCGGCTGGGACCCATACACGCTAACCTGGCCCGCCAAGCTCGGCGAAGTCATCGAGATCATCCTAGAAAACACCGGTTCTCTCGTCGATAACAACGGCGGCTTCGACTACCACCCTTTCCATCTCCACGGCGCGCACTTCTACGACTGCGGCAGCGGAAACGGCACTTTCGATCCTTTTGAGAACGAGAAGAAGCTTGAGAACTACAACCCCGTCAGGCGCGATACTACGAACCTGTACCGCTACCGTACCAAGGGCACAGCGGGTGAGGAGGGTGGATGGCGCTGCTGGAGACTGAGGGTTCTGGATCCGGGCTGCTGGATGCTGCATTGCCATGTGCTGCAGCACATGATTATGGGTATGCAGAGTGTGTGGGTTATGGGCGACTATGAGGATATCGCGCGCATTCCTTACTCGGGAGCGGAGGGTTACCTCGACTTTGGTGGTACCGCGTATGGTGGTCAGGATATCTCGCCCGTTGCTTATCATAACTGGGATGAGTAGGCGGGGAGTGAGGTCTCGCTGTTTCCAAGTCTGGTGTCATTTTTTCAAGCTATATAGATTAGTATCTATTAAACCTAATCGTTCACCTACCCTTGGAAGTGTTGTTCGTGTGGTCGAGCTTCTCCCTGCGCGCTTTGGCTTGCCGTCCAGGCTCGTCTCCGTTCCCTGCTAATCGCAATCCAGATTGTGCGCTTGCGATGGTGAAACCATCTAGTCAATTCATGCGAAATGCGTGTTCTTGCAGGAGTGCCATGTTAACAGACTTACTCCAAGCTGGCGCTGCTGTCAAGTGTTTGGGAGCTACCTAGGTAGTCTTGGCGCGCGGAGCTCTGACGCGTCCACGGGTCGACGCGTCTTCTGGCTCAATACCGTGGTAACGACACCACCAACCCACGAGCGACACGATTGACACGATTGACTTGCCCACAACACGATGAAAAGACCGTCGTTACTGTCTTTTTGTTTAGAAAGCATCGAAGCAGCCCATGTCCAAGACATGCCACATGAAGGATAATCAATTTCTAGACGCCTAACGCAAACCATACACTCATACAATCATAGTAACGAAACAGACCCCGAAGTCTACAAGCTCTCCCAGCCCCCATTGTTAACATCGCCCTCCAACCTCCTCGCAATCAGACTCTGCACTCCACCTTCCAGCCAAACCTTCCTCAGCAACGCATCATACCGCTTCTGGTTCAAGAAGAGCTGGTGGTGACGGCGCAGCGCGGGGTCAACTTCACCGTGCTTGTCGAGGTAAGGCGCGACGTGCCAGGTACCGTGGTCGAGATTGAGGAAGAGAATCATACATTTACGAATATGTATAAAAAGGCCAATTTGGCCGCCGCATCTGTAAGGACAAGACGTTAGTATGGGATCTTGAATGATGTAGGGACCGTGGGGGAAAGACTTACTTGGCCAGATGCTGGTTACAGCCTCCACGGTTCTTATTCGTCATGCAGCATACGGCTTGGCTGCACATGATCTCGCCGCAGAAAAGGCAGAGCGCGGGGTCTGTGAGTTCTTTGCCTGTTGTGGGGCAGCGGCGGCGTATCGCTTCGTCGGTTAGGGTGTCGTAGTTCTTGGGTAGGCCGACGAGTTCGAAGATGGCGGGATGGGAGAGGGAGATTCTGGGCTTGCGCGGGGTGTTGCCGCCGGCCCGGCGGAAATGGCGGAGCCAACCTCCTACGATGGAGCGCGTTGTGTAGGCTGATGACGTCAAGCTACCGAAGGAAGCGAATATTTCGTCAATGGATGGTAGTCGGAGGATGGAGGAGAGACGTGCGAGTTCGGGCTCATCTGCGCGTTCGGCGGGGACGAGTGGGAGGTCGATGCCGTAGCGCACGTGCATGAGGATAGCCGCTTTACGGACGAAAGGCAGAGCGTAGGTTGAAACCATGGTTTGTATGGAGCCGAGGAATTTGAACTCTCTGAACTGTGATGGAACGAATATGTTATCGTCCAACGATTCGGGTGAGTCGTCCGTGTAGAAGAGGTTGTAGACGGCACTGACAAAGAAGAGCAGGTTGTCCACCTGGTCCTGCGTCGACATGGACC